CATTTTCTTTACATAAAACTCTCTCTTATACATGAGTTGCTGTGGATTTGTTTCTCCAAAGTACCCAGACTAACACACATACCAAACCTATGTATAACAGAACGAAACACTGCCCAGACCTGCATCACCCTCACAATTGTTCTTATGCTTGAGCCTAGTGGTGCAGCCTCTGTGTCAATCCATCTTTTCAAGGGTCTTCCTTTTTCACTGCCCCTCTACTTCACCAAGCCCGATGTCCTTCTCCAGGTCTGTCCTGATAACATGTCCGAAGTACCTGAGACAGAGTCTCACCATCCTTGCTTCTAAGGAGCATTCTGGTTGTACTTCTTCCAAGACATGCATTTGTGTTCTTTTGGCAGACCACGGTAGTCAATATTCTTTTTCAGCACCATACTTTAAATGCAATGCTACATATAGGGTATGGAAAAGGGGGGTTTCAAAATACCAATTCAAAGGTGCAGACCCAAATCTAAGGGAAGGCTCTGGTGGAATCCCAGAGGGCTCTGCCCTGGGTCCTTTATTTTGACTATTATAAGCACTGGCATTGGACTGCTAACGGCAAGATTGACAGTTCAAACTGTGCAGTCACTTAGCAAAAGAAGATGAGGTTATCTACACCTGTTAAGATTGACAGCCTCAGAAACCTTATGCAAGGTCACTATGGGTGTGAATCAATTTAATGCCAGTTGGGCATTGGGTTTGGGTTTTGATGAACACGTCAAGAGCTGGTTTGGGTTTTGATGAACACGTTCACTGGCCAGGTTAATAAAGGTTAGTGTGGGGAAATGGCAAGTAATACAAAGTCAACAGGGCCAGTGACCAGGAAAATGACAGAATCATGATTCAAAATGGTCACAACACATTGGAGGGACATACTGATGAAGTTGAAAGAGGGTAAATATGAACTCCTGAAAAAACTAAACACAATGCATCAAGTCAAATTCTGACTCAAAGTGACCCTACAGGACAGAGTAGAACTGCCTCTCTGGGCTTCTGAGACTGTAAGTCTTTACAGGAAGAGAAAGCCTCATTTTCCCTGGCAGAATAGCTGGTAGTTTTGAACTGCTGACCTTTCAGTTGGCAGCCGAATGTGTAACCCATACACCACCAGGGCTCCTACAATAGGCTAAATATCATGTGCACTGGGAGTGGGCAAGAGACTAGGCTTAAAGTCTCCCTGTGAGAAATGCCCAGGTATTCTACTGACAAGGGGCTCAATATTAGCAGTGGATACAGCTAGGAAAAGTCAGAAGAGTGTACAATCAGGCAAACAAGATCCACAAAACAAAACCCATGGATAGCACTGAGTTTAAACAAAAGAACAGACAGTTCCAGGGAGCTCTAAATTGACCACGCAGTATCTGGGTGTTTTCATTGAGTTTTTTGCATGACATTCTAAGGGAGAATATAGACCAATGGGAGCATTTCAAATCATTCCACAAACATATCTTTAGTAAGGACGTTGATATTAGGACTACCAAGATGATAAGTTCATAGTCCCTGCCTTCAGGGAATGGGATATGGAAACCAAGTCATCTGAAATCTGGAAAACGGAACTAGAAATGCTAAACCAGAGAGAGAGGGTTAGTGATAGGGGAGGAGAGGGAGAGAGTAACAGAGATGCCAGCCTCTAAAGTTTAGCATTGAAACACTTGCAGGATCAGCCAGACATGGTGTTCTAGTCAATAGAAAACACACTCTTGGAAGAACAGACATTTAATTTCTTCTTTTCCTTCTTCATTATATTTTTTATTATCTGGGTAAAAGTTCACAAAGCAAATTAACTTCTCATCAGCAGTATGTATACAGCTTGCTCTGTAACATTAGTTTCAATGCCCACAGTGTATCAGAATTCTTCCCATAACCACCTTGGGCTCCCTGTTTCCATTTACACAGTTTCCTTCCCTTCTGCATATTGCTTCTGACAAAATGCTGCCCTTTTGCTCTCATATAGTTGATTGTTTTGAGCAAGATTTAAGTGCTCAAAGGAAGAAGTTTTAAATGATTTGATTTGTCCAAGAATGAGATGGTAACCTTTGACGGGTAATGAGTGCCCTTCAAATGGTAATGGAAGTATTCAACTCACTAATCAGAAATGCCACCAAGGATTGCCACTGGGAAGATGTGAGGACCTGCAGGTGAGCACTCCAGTTCCTTATGAGAGCATTGGTAGGTCAGTAGTAGAATTCTTGCCTTCCATGTAGGTTTCATTCGGGGCCAATGCACCTCATGCCACTGCCTCTCTGCCGTGTCAGAGGCTTGAGTGTGGCTGGGTGCTGAGCAGCTCTCAGAGGCGCTTCCCAGACTAAAATGGAGTCGAAGAAAGGCCTAATGGTCTACTTCCAAAAATAAGTTGACGAATCGTATTGGTCCCATCCACCCCTAGTTATGGAAATGGCACATAATAAGACGGTGTGTCATTCATTGAGTCCAGGATCACTGCCATAGCAGTTAACAATAGTAACAACAACAACAAGTCTCTTAAAATTAAAAGGCCCTGAGGTACTCTCTGGTATGAGATTTCTCCCCTTTGTGGATGGATGAAGGGAAGGAGTTAAATTTGAAAATGATGTACAAAATATGTACAAATGTACTTGACATAATCGATGGATGCATGCATGCATGCATTGTGATAAGAGCTGTAAGAGCCCCCAATAAAACGATTTTTTTAAAAAGAAGAAGAAAGAAAGAAATTCAGCTCAGTGGTAGAACTAGAGGAAGGCCATGGAAAGAAAGAGTCGACACTAGGAGAAATTGGCAAGAATGTTGTTGGGTAGTTTTTAACAAGAACACTCTCTGTAAACCAGAGATTTTCTGCGCTAGGTAATACCAATTCAGATGGGCTGTTCTCCAATGCATGTGTCTCCACATGTGTATATAGGTATGCTTATTATCGTACAAATCACGATTTTATTTTAAAACTCTGATAGTCCACTTCCTAATTCTCTTTTTTTAAGGACATATTTGCATTTTCTTATTTCATCCTTAAATTTTAAAAAATAATAATAACTCACTACCATTGAATCAATGCTGCCAACCATCAGTGACCTTATAGGACAGGGTAGAATTGTCCCTATTTTTCTTAAAAAGAATGGAAATCCCTGCCCCAGTCCCCTCTCCACCCAGCAGTAAAGGGGAGGAGCTGATCAACCTCACCCCTTTTAGGGGAAATAGAGGCCCCCACCCACCACCACTCCACTGCCCAGACCTCAGTAGTCCAGCACCCTCATTCCTCACTTGGCCCTAAAGGCATTTGGGTCCACAGGAGTTTCAGAGAGGCTAGTTGGAGATACCAGATTGGTACTTGAAGATGCTCAGTAATATTTCTTTAAAGCAGACTGGGGTTGCTTTTCTTTCTGCCAAGGACCATTTGGATATATAACATCATTAAAGAGCCATACAAAAGTATCGGCTTAAAAATTAGCCTGCTCTATTTGGCGAAACATTTCATTAGCTCAGCCCTAATGTGATGGCTGGAACAGGTATGGAAGCTAAGGCTAGTGGGCCTGAAGGTCCCCACCCTGCTTCAAAGAATTGTGGGGTGAATAGAGAACAAGTCAAGGATAGATGTTAATGAGGTGACTGCCAGGATCCTCTAGCCTGGGTCTGAACTCCTAGAGAAGCTTCCCTCAAATGCCCCAGGTAAATACCCCTGGCAAGATAAGCCAGGTGATAAGAAGTTGGTGGCTGCCCATTGATTTCACTTCGTGCATCCTCATGTAGTAAGTGCCCTCAAAAGGATTGGAATGGTGATATCTTTTAACATTCATTGTGTAAGTATCTCCTTACTGGTTGGTACTCATTGCCATCAAGTCAATGCAGACTCCTAGCGGGCCCCTGTGGGTTGCTGAGACTAACTGTTAATGGGAGTAGAATGTGTAGTCTCTCTCCTGAGTTGCTGCTGGTGGCTTCAAACTGCTGACCATAAGGATCAGAGCCCAGTACATAACCACTACACCACCAGGACTCCTGATCAGCAACATCTGTATCATCTGATTCAATTTTCTTTTTTACTCTTTTGGGTTAACCAATGAACTTAGCTATGTTCCTCTATCTGCAGATATGAAAGTGAGCAGCTATTTCGAAAGGCAGCGGAAGAGGAAATTAAGTCTCTGTATAAAGTGATTGATGAGGCTCATTTAACCAAATTGGATCTGGAGAGTCAAATAGAAGGTCTGAAGGAAGAACTTGACTCCCTGACAAGAAACTACGAAGAGGTGGGTGAGTGGTGGGGTGATGCTGGGTGGTTATAGCCCAGAGGCAATCACCTGTGCTTCAAAACCCAGAAACTCACCTTGCCCTTGTCCTGTTGCATGCCCCAGGTTGGAAAGAAAAAGGAGGTGTATTGTTTTTAAATCCTTGTAGTGACTCAAGTTGGGAGCAATGGTGGTTCAGTAGTAGAATTCTCACCTTCCATGAAAGAGACTTGGGATCGATTCCCAGCCAATACTCCTTATTCCTATCTGTATTAGTCTGGGTACTTTGGAGAAACAAATCCACAGCAACTCATGTATAAGAGAGTTTTAGGTAAAGAAAGTGTGCATCATGAAAACATCCCAACCCAATGCTGCCCAAGCCCACAAGTCCAACATTAGCCCATTAACCCAACACCAGTCCACAAAGTCCTCCACCTCACAAAACAGAGGCAATGATGCCAACTGCAGGAGGAAAGCTGAGTCAGTAAACGAATTAGCATCTCAGCACTAGCAGGGGTCTCCACACGGCTGCTCCAGCACCCAGGGCTGCATCGGGATAGGTCCATGTGGCTTCTCCTTGGGGATGTCTTGTAGGAAGTCAATCTTGCAAGCTGAAACAGGGAGCTGCTAAGGCAGCTGCATCCTGGTGTGACCATCACAAAGCAAGAGACCCGAGAACTCAAAAGGCAAGGCTCACCACCCATTGATCCCTCCGCCTTTCAATTAGCCCCGCATGTGTTTATCGGCCAGGTTGGCACAATTAACTAACTCACTATCCGACAACGAATACTTGCTTATCGCATAATGCTGAGCAGATTTCCATGGAGCTTCCAGACCCAGAGACGCTAGCATGAAAGGCCTGGCAATCTACTTCAGAAAATCAGGAACTAAAGCCCTATGGCTTGCTTGCAGAAAAACGTCTTTAGGTTGTACGAGCCTATAAGCCTTCTGTAGATCTCTTCCCTGCTAGGGCAAGGGTTACCACTCTGTAGCTTAGCTGAGAAGTTCTCAACAAATCTCCCATCTGGTGGCATGGGAGTCTTCAGCTCTCTCTCACTCTGTGGGTCAGCAAGCCCACCACAGCCATCTACTGGTCTGGTGGCTCTTGCCATTCATATTGTTGCTGCCATTTTTCTGTTGCTGGGCTCTGTTGTGATTACTACCATTTCCCTTCCACCTCACGTCATCTTAAATGACACATCTCTCTCTCGTGGGTCTAGGAGGTCCTCACTACAGGAACCCTGGGGGTCAAAGGAGGCACTCTTCTCCAGGCTCTTGTTGATGATCGTGAGGGCCTCCTCAATTTTTTTGTGGGATTGGCCTGTATAATATTCAATTTCAAGGTATGGCCCTCCCAGCCAGACCACCAACTGACCAATCTCCTCAGTAGACTAAAATCTCTCACGCTGCATTCTGCAATCATAAACAACCCACACCTACATGAGTGGGTTATTCCTATTTATCGGTTTTACACACCCTACTTGCATAGAATGCTGGCCAATCCGTTGCTAAATTGTGGTCTACGCAATCATTTTAGCAGAGTTATACACTGAAGGCCAGAAAGACCCTACAGTAGGCTAAGAAAAAAAAAAAAGTATTGCTACTAAGGTTCCAGTTTATGCCTGCATGATTTATTCCAAACAAAATGTGTTTGCGCATGTCTCCACAATGAGACATGACTACACATATCCATGTGTCTCTCAGAAATACACTTCTCTTAGTCTCGCTAGGTTACCTTAGGGAAAAAACAATCCAACCCAATCAGTAACACCCAAGGGAATCTGCCGAACCAATTAGATGCATCAGGAAGTTCCTTCAGGAGTCCACCCTTACGCTAACCACGCAACAATGCGCACAGTTCGTCTTTTTCTTAGCTCAGCATTTTGACAGCTCTCTCCAACAGAAATCCAAAATTATCTTTAAACCTCGTTTGTTCAGCCTAGTCTGGCTTTATGTCTAAATCCATATCTGCTGTGGTTGGTTATTTAGTTTTTTTCTGATCTTTTGTTTTCATTTTTGCCTGAATTGATAAAGATTAGCCTAAGAAATGCGTCTTTGACGGACATTGGGCCTCTACTCAAGCACTCCCTCAACACAAGAACACTTTGCTCT